GGGTAAGGGAACCTCACACTTTGAAGCTGAACAGGCCAGAGATCAGACCAAAACATCCCAAGCTTCAAGGGAAACTATGGAACTGGTTAAGCACGAACATCAAGAAAAAAGAACAACAAAAAGAAACATGAAAAACTGTTCATCATAACCCTTGATGGCTGCTTTATCTCTGCTGTTGCTGTAGTAGGCTCTTTGGAAATGTGATGCTCTGAAAGTACAAAAGAGACAGGATTTCTAGAGGAATGTAGTGTGTCTTTTATTAGATCATTCAACTTAGGGAAAAGTGTCAAGCCCTGGGCACACAAAATGTTCAGGAACACTTGTCTGACTTTTTCATTACCCTGATATTAACTTTATCTGCAAACCCTGCTTTGCTTTGGCTACTTTCAGCTAGCACCAGCATCTTCTTATATTATCACCTCTACATTTGAGGGCTTTGTTCACCCCTGTTCTTCCTCCTTCTGCTACTGGGCCAAGGTAAGAGTAATTACTGCAGTCATCACAGATCACTTTGTCTTACTTCCTTGTGCTTTTCTGCTACTTTCCGGCTGGTTTGCCTGAAATCATACAGCAAAGCAAGAGCACCAGGAAGCAAACACTCACACATGACCCCACACCTTTGCTTTTAATGTGCAGAAGTATCTGTCCTCTCCCTTCTAGGCAGAAAGCCATGAGAAAACCCTGCTGACAACAGTGAAAGAGAACTGCATAATAATCTTACCTATTACATGAGCTAGATCCAGGCCTTACCTGCAGTTTCACACATAAATCTTTAATTTTAGTTTTGGGAATGGATCGCAGCCCTGGTAATTTTAATGCTGAAGACGGAGATTAGGCCACATTTTCTCCCTCATACAGATGGATTTACTCTGCTTTTTACAGTCTTAGAACCTTAAAGAGCTAATGGCAAGTTGGCCAAACTTCCTCCAGGAATTACCTAATCCTTCTAAAATTGTTCTCCAAAATGAGAAAACACACTGAACAAAAACACTTTCTTGAACTGAACACTTACAACACTCAGAGCTTTTGTCTTAGAAAACAAACAAAACAACCCAGAGAAAACTGCACAAACTGCAAAACATCGCATTGCTCCTCAACAAATGCACCGAAGTACAAGTTTTTCTTCATACATTCACATAGCCGAAAAAATTACGATTTCATACAAATTTAGATATTGTTTCAGTGAAATGGGTATTTTTTGAGAAAAAACAAGCACAAATAAAATGTAAGCAATATTTCATCCATGTAATCATTTTTCTCCAGTGGTGATCATCCAAATGGATGATGTTAGGCTATGGGAAAGAGAGTACCGGAGGGCACCTATAGCAAGAGGGCTACAGGGAAGAGTGCTGAAAAGAGACAAATCTTTTTGCGTGTCCATCCAAGATTCTGTTTTTATAATATCTGTTAAAAAACAGAAGTGGTTGCCTTCACATTTCCTGAAGAGACACTCTTCCTGGCTGTCTTTCTGCACGCAATGCAAACAGCGTTCTGCACATCTCCAGTCAGACGTGCAGGGCAGGCATTATTAGCACACAAACTCTCAGGGATTTTGAAAGGCCTTTTGCATACGGAATGCAAAAAAAGAAAAGCTAAGTATTTCAGGAAAGGGATGAAGATTCATTCACAGTTATAGAACAGAAGGGTCGGGCTGATGCTTTCATCTTGCTTATACTGCTGCTAGCATGAGCCTCAGCTTCCATGCTGCAGGCACTGGGCAGCCCTCATTGCCCTCCAGGCACAGCAGTAGCTCCTGACAGGGCCAACACGAAGCCAGCACAGCACTCCTTCAACAGCTGGGTGGCATGGTATTGTTGCGTCCATACTAACTCAGCTGCCTCAATGCTACATCAGTTGCTTTTATGGAGAAATTTCTCTGCACTCACGGCCCTGCTCGGCCTGCTGGACACAAGTGTGAGATGCACAAAGGAGCAGAGAAGGAGGCTTGTGCTCCAAGATGGCTCTGAAGTGGCAGGTGGGACCAACACCATCGAGACATTTCGCTTTCAGGAAAGCCTGTGTGCCTTAGAAAAGAGCCAGAAATGCCTTGATCAGCTCTGGGCACTGTCCCTGCTTACATACGGAGCATTTCAAGTTACGGAGCAATTTCTGTCAGCAGCTCTGGTAGCAGAACGTGGCTAGAGCAGAACCAGGATGTGAGGCAGAAATACTCAGACACAATCTTGATTTGCTTAAAGTCACCCACTAGCAGCTGTGGGACTGCAAGAGAGCCCAGGTCGTGGCCTAGCATGCAGCAAAGTCATATGGGACTTCGTGTAGCTCTTGATGTTTACTCCAACACTTCAAGCCTATACTCATATGTCACCCAGACAGTATCAGGTGACTTGTGATTGTATTATGTTGGCTGGTGAAGTCATTCATCCTTGCACATTTATTTTAGTTTTTTCTGCTTTCTCTGACACACCACTAACAAGGCTTTTCAGTATTGCTGGGGGGTGACAAAGACCATCTCTACATAACTTTACTCACTTTTAAAGTGAGATGAAGGGTAACCATGATGACCCACGTGAGCACTGTTTGCTTGGGCTGGCATTAACCCTGTAACAGGTAAACGCAATGGGATTTGATTGACAAAGAGCCAAAGAGTATGAATAAAATGAATGCCAATCAAAATGTAGAATGCGGATCCCATCAGGCTAACCTGACTGCTGCTCTTTACTGAGGTTTGATTGAAAAAGTTTGGTTGAACAGATATAATATACACAGGCTCCTGAAGGGCTTTTAACTACCATGTGTTACCTGCAAAAACAGCAACATACAACATCAGTAGACTATAGCACACATTCATTAAGAAACTGCTGCTGACATCTCTTGTGTTTGTCACTGGGGGAATTATCCTGAATAAATGTGTTTCTAGCAAGGTTCTACAGGGACTGACAGCAGTCTCAGTAACATTCATCAGTTCTAACCAGGATCAGGAAGTTAATTTAAAAACAATCAAAAATACTATGGATAATTCAAAAAACTGTGAACCAGCAAACAGTGGGAAAAGTAGTGTATCCAAAACAACATGGATTATGTAGTAAATTAATACAGCCAAAGACAAAGTGGGTATGTGTAGGAAGAAATGCAGACAGAAGGAGAAGCTGCCTTCTGGGAAATGAAGAGACTATTTCTCCTTCAGCCAGGCAGATATGAGCATATTGTACATATTTCCAGTGCCCAAACTTCAAAGAAATGAGCAGAGGGGAGAAAAGAACTATAAAGAAGGTTCCAATACATACTGGTAGCTTTAAATAGCTCTGTCTGCTTAGTTTATCTAAAGATGAAAATTAAGCCAACTTTCAATTTCTAAGCACCTTCGTCTGGAAGAAGTGCTTGGTGGTACACAGCACTTGATTTAGCAGAACAAAGCATACAAGCCTGGAAGGAAGCTGATTTCAGATAGCCAGGTAGGGAATGAGGCACACATTTTCACCCATATGAGTAACTGCTGGAGTCAGTCACCGAGGAAAGAAGCAGAGCCACCTGTACAGTCTACAGGTCAGCATGGGTGGCTTTCTGGGATGTTACTTCCATAAAATGTTATACTTTAATCAAAGTAAAAAAGAAATTGGGTTCAATACAAGTCACTGACTGAAAGTCGCAGGTCAAATTATAGATTCTAGAAGAAATCCAACTGATTTCTGACCTCATGTTTCTAAAACTGGAATTCAGCAGGAGCTAAAGTTCACACAACTCCATCACGCAGTGTTTCCATGTGATCACTACTAATCACTACTAAATCCAGCAAGAACATACGAGTGACTCCAGATTTTGGGAGCTCTACAGGGAAATATTCTAAATGTTGAATCTCCTCTGCTCTGAACAATGTTGGTTATGTGATTTGCTGGTACCACGAAGGGTCCAATACATAAAGGAAAACACAATGCAAATAATTAATGGTAACTGGGGAGAATGATGAAAATGAAAGCTTCTTTCCTGATTGCTTTTTGCTCAGATTTTGAGACTAAGTATTCAGGATGCTGCCTTCTTTCTTTCTGCACAGTTAGCAGCTTTGGAGTATTTTCTCTCTTGCAGTCCATACTGAGTTATCTGTACCTTCCTGCCAGTTAGAGATTTGTTTAATGAACTTTGCATGCATCTACTCCTAGCACTGCAAAGTTTAGTAAGCAAAGCTGTACCTCCCTAGCATTCAGAGATGTGCTGGAAAAGAAGTGTGGTGTACATATATTTTCTTTGATAACTTCTAATTTGCTTTAAGTATTACTCGAGGTGCATTTTCGCTTGTCCTTCAAGTTTAGAGGATGTGGGCAGAAGATACCTTGTTCTCTTCTGATCCCACTCTTCAAGTATCTCAATGCATCTTAATAGTGAGCAGTCTAAAGAGTCTAAAGATTAAAGAGATATGAGAAGGTTTTCACAGACAAGCCTTCTATTGGATAAGGTTATTCTGTCTGCTTTCTTTCCTCCAGTGTTGCAACGGAGAAGTTGCTAAGTCTTTTGTTCTCTGGGTTTTATTGGAAAGTGAATGGGGGGAGATATATCTATACCTCTCACAGAACTAAGAACAGCTTAAGAGATACTATTCAATACAAAAGCTGAACTAATTTTGTTAAAGGTAAGGATAAAACTTTGAATGGCTTCATTAAGTAACCAAATCAGGAGCCCGCAAGGGGAATTAGATTCATAAGCTGCAACATTACTTAGAGAACAACACAGGCAATTAGGTATGAAAGTATATATTTGAAATTACCATGATAAAACACTTGATGCTTGGAATTTGGAATTACAAGTATATCCCATCCTGAACACTGCTCATCAGTCTAGAATTCACAGTTCACATGGATAAGTAACAGCAGATAATTTTTCAGTGGGCACAGCTATAGGAATTTAGGATAGAGACAAATGCCAATGTTTTATAACTATGACTGCAAACTTAAAAAAAAAAAAAAAAAGCAATTACAATGCAAAACAGTTTATCACCTCAACTACTTCTATCACTGACTGGAAATACTACATAGCAGGGGATTGTTTACCTGGAATGCTCTCCAGTTTTCTACGAAGCTCCTCATTTTCTTGTTGCAATGAAATTACCTCCTGTTCAAGCTCTTGACAGCGAGGGCAGTAACCTTCCTCTTCTTCTTCCTCTTCCTCCTCTGGAAGCGTAGAAGATGATGGGTGACCATGAGATTCAGAAGTTGCTGGAGATGTCCATCCACCTAAAGTGTGTACTGGAGAGGTTGAAAGTGGATCCACATCTGCCAAATGGCTAAAATCATTTACTGACGAGGTGTTCTGAGAAGGGAAGCTCCCAGAAAGCAAATAGTTCTGAAGCGAATCAGTAAAAACTCTCAGAAAGGCTGAGGTTTGTTGTTTCTTTTGCATATACTGCATCTCTATGTCTAAAATGTCTGACGTCTGACTATGGACCATTTTTCCAAGCTGACATTGCTCTTGTCTTTCACTATAATTTGGGTTTTCCTGCTTTATACAAGAAATCATTGACTGAGAGTGATTGTTGTCCAGTAGTTTTCCACCACAATTTAAAAGACTTAGAACCCGGCTGCACTGTTGGGCAAAGGCATCCAGAATCATTCGACTCTCTGAAACAAAAAAAAAAATGAATCACAGCAACCTAACACAAACAGTTACGCCAGGCAGCAGCAGCTAGATGAATGTATGCAACCATTTACAGTAGCAGGCATTTTATTTCTGAACATATTAAAATTATGGCTTCTGCTTTAATACTTCTGCAACACTGCGATTTAAAACAATCCTGACTTTGCTTCTATTTTGAGAGTGCCCTTGTGCCCTTGCTGTTAACCAGAAATGCACTGTGATGATAGTCAGTGCTTAGTGCCATGTTCTTTCAGAGGGATTAAGACAGAGAAATGGGGGAAAAATATAAATTCCATCCAATATGCCACAATAAAAGTTCACAGGAGCATTTCTTTCAAAGCAGATTTCAAGCTGTGGTGAGCATTGCCTATACCTATCTGCAGGACTTTGTGCTACATCTTCCTCCTATGCCCTGCTCCTCTCCAACAAGGCTTCCAAGCTTCAGTTTTTCTCCCTTTCACTTTTGCCGCACTTACCTGGCATTGGGCATAGGCCACTTCATAAGACCCACTCCATTTACATGGATTTTAAAGGCTCCTTTTGTTTTCGCTTCCAAAGTGGTCCAGAAAAGATTTGGGAACAACGCTGTCTGTTGTGACTGCCCACAGAGTTGTGGCCATGCTGCTATCTCACAGCAGATAAAAGGGGCTGAGCAGTTTCTGGAAGCAAGGAAGCATGCCACGCCACAAATGCCAGGTCCTGCCCCTAGTGATAGGAGGAGCAAAATACACCACCACTACAGGATGGCTTACTTCTGTAGGATCTGTGTGTGTAGAGTTGAGCTGCTATAACAGTGCCCGCACTAAATGCAAACGGCCAGTGTGTCTAGCTCTGATTTATGGTATGACCTGCTACTTTCCCTGATATCAATGTCTTTAAAAAAATTATTTATAGCTTATAGCCGAGTTCCTCTAGGCATCTGAAAGATGTAACTAACATTTTGCAGGAAATAAAAAAAAGTGGTAGATTTAAGCGCTGCCAAATCTGGAGAGTTCTTCTAAGACAGGCTTGACTTTTAGTAAGTGACAAATGCATTCGCTTTTGAAAAGGCAACCTGCTACAGATGTATGGAACTAAGCACCCCAAACCTTCACTTAACTTAAACTTGTCACTAGAGATGAAAAACACAGCCTCGTCACACTGATAACACATAAAGACCAGAAACTTTGGGAATTCAGATCTTTAAGAGATGGTGCTTTTCCCAGCACTTCTCCATCACCCTGCAGTTTTGTTTGCTGGTGGAAAATTACATCATCCTGAGGTTAGAACAGTGTCCTGCAGAATATCTGAAATGACACTAATTTGGATTTTTACCATCCTCCAGCTGTCAATAAGGAAGAACTAAGGCAGCATACACATGCTGCGAGTCTTAAGTACAGACGGAGTAGGCCTTGCTGACACACAACCCAAGGGTGTCATCTCACACAGGTAAGAAGAGAGGCATGAGGAAGACAGAAGGGAACGTGCAGTGCAGTGTTCTGAGATGGCTGGGAACAAGATGAGAGCACATCAGCACGTGAAGTACAGGGGGCTCTGAGACAGCTCTGAGCAGCCCCACAATCTGTGCCAGCAACTCACATCACACCCTCACTTTGAGTTCTGACCAAGCAGGACAGATTCCTCCATCTTTCTGTCATCAAAAATGCGTGGGTGCTTGGTAGCCTCTATACCCACTGTCACTTCCAAAAGCAAGGAGTCCTGGTGACACTGCAGCTTTCTAACTGGTACCTATGGACAAGAAAGGAAATCATGAAACTAAAATACCACTAACACTCTCAACTTGTGCTTTCTTTCCCTTATGTCTTTACTTCACATATTTTCCCTTTAAAAATATGAAAGGATATTGATTGGAACTTTGCAATCCTTCTACAGAGCAGTTTTTCATTCATTTTAATCCTATAATCCGATTCCAGACCTGAAGTCATATTTACTGTTTGTATTTTAATCATTATGGTCCCTGTTGACAAAACAGTTACTCAGTTTTTTTGCATATCTCTCTTGCAAGGGGACGAAAAATGAATGAAACAACTGAAAAGGGATTAGATTAGCATAGGAGACGCTATTCTAGTATCATGGCTCCTGCTAAAACACGGCCAGGAATAACCTGCCATTTCAAATACCAGTTCTGAAGAACACTTTAATAAATACTGCCATCAGTAAAGATAAAATTAGTGATTAGTTTTGTTGTAAAAATGAATGCCTTAACGCATTCACTGTGATAACGGCTTAAAACGTAGCTGAAATTTTATACAGAAATGACAGCATTGATTTAATCTTCAGCTCAGTATCAGATCTACTACAAAGACACAATAACAGCAATTACTGTCTTTTTTCTTAGCTTTAGCCCATACCCAAGGATGTAAAAATGAAAGCTGTGACACGGTGAGGCTATTACAAAACGTGAGCACAAGGATTTGCAAATGCTTTCTGCCAGTGCCACTGGGCAGTGACAGTGAGAGATGCCCTCAGCACACAACCCTGGCTCCATGTTGAACCAAGTACCACTGCAAAGTACACCTCTAATACTACACGTACCCACAGTCTGAACAACCCTGAGTGAGAATGGCAATAACAGTTATTCCTTGTGATGGAAAGAAAAATAAAAACAAATGCTGCCTATTTAGCATTTATTATAGAGCTTGGTATTCCAGCTTTTGCAGGGTGACTGTAATTAGAAACACAAGCAGCATGCAATGTCTAATCAGTAATAAATGACAAAAAAATTGTTTTAATGTGAATACTACCGAATAATCACAGATCTATGATTCTTAATTGATTTAATGTAATGTATGTATTTTCCAGGAAAGAAGGATTCTGCTGAAATGACTGCGCGAGACTGAAATAAACTACTTACTGAAACTGTATTGTGACACTCCTCTTCCTTATTACAATGCTCACCAACCATGTAATTCTAATGTGTCAAACCCTGCAGTCTTCAGTCTTACAGAACTTCTATTGACTTCAGCTCCACTTCTGCCTGGAGGTGGGCTTGCCACATTAGGCCCATAAAGTGCTAACAAGAGATGATTAACTCACCAGAAGTGTAAGCAGTTCTAAACGGACTATTTCTCTGAGAATGCAAGCAATCAGCTGACAACAGTACCACGTGGCAAATGAGGGACCAACTCCCAGATACAGTTCTTCATTTTCACTTCTTTTTCTCATTGATACTAGTTTCTTTTTTTGTTTGTGTGTTTGTATGTCTCTGAAGCTGCCAGACTGAAGACAAGGGTTTAGTAAGAGCATGAAGCTCAATCAGATGACTTATGGCAATGCATTAGAAAAGTTGTCTGGAAAGGCTTGTGGGTGCTACATCAGATTTTTCTACACCTAAGGATCTTTTCAATTCTTAGACCAGACAGCTTTATTAATAGACACTTTGCTGGATCTCAATAGATCCACATTCAAGTGTTGGCTTTTCCATGGTTTCCTCTGCGACCTCGGGTGGATGGTATGAAAAGATGTCTTTACTGAGCTACTGAGGGGGTCCAAATGACAAACATTCTCTCCTGTGGGGAATGTACCCATTCATATTTGATCTTCAATAAGGTTTGAAGTTTCGATTTCAATAATCTCACTCTTCACTTTGCAGCGTTTCAGATTTTTATCTCTTGATTTGTTGAATAACTGTATTCTATTTCTTAAGGTCCTGGGGTAACAGCTCTGTATCCCCAAATGGCTTTGTCCTTGTATACAAATCTTCTCATCACATGGTTAGATAAGAACATTGCTGCCTGAGTCAAAACTGGGAGCATGTGACACCCTGACTAAGGGATGCTTTTGTGGGCATTTTACATGAAGATCACTGAGACACTCCAGCACAATTGATCTATCCACTCCACATAAGTATTTCCAACTTCTTGCTTAAGGCCAAATTGATGCTCTCTTGACCTTCTCTATTCAAATATAGACATATATAAATACATACATAGCCTGGACACAATAGAAATTGCTTAATTAGTCTCGCTAAGTATGCCAGGTCTTTAGCACTACTGCCTCTATGACAGCTCTGCTTGTCTTGCTTTCCACTTACTCCCTTCTTAAATTTCAAGGCACACTGTAAGGTCTACATCATGCTTTCCTATGGAAGTTTCTTTTGGAGCCCATCACGCTGCTTAATGCAAACAATAATAAAAATAAAAAATACACATTATTTCCATACCAGGAAAATATTTCAAACACTAAACTAATAAAGAACTGATGCTCCAAAGGAGAAAACAGGTGTCTGCCCATATTTGTCTGCCCATATGTACTCGTGTGGCTTATAATGCAGCAGTCATAGCAAGCACTGCTCACCCGAGAAAAGGGGAGGCTTGTATTTGCAGCACAGCTTCCCATTTCTCAAAGTAAGATGACATTTCTCAAGCTGAAGCCTCCCCTGAAAGGTGGGGTCCCAAGCTGGACCTTCCCTCACAATGAGGCAGGGTGGAGAACCACTCCTCTGCTCTTCATCCTTCCCACAGCTCTCTCCCTGCTGTTGTTTTGGAGCCCCAGCCAGGGCAGTCTCTTAGTTCAAAGACGACACTGCTTATTTCTGGCAGGAGCTCTGAACACTTGCATATGCTTGAAAACATGGAAGCATCCTTACTCATCCCCTTTGGCTGTGTTATAGATGCCCACTTTCAAAATGAGACTCGGTGCTCTGAATCTACAAGCCTCAGAAACATCGTGCCTAAAGATTAAGAACCAGCTGTATCAAGTGTTTAAGCTGCCAGACCAGAGTAAGATGTACCAGGGATGGCACTTTACCAGTCAGTTTATATTCTGTTACCTACACATGTGAAATGCCAACAGAAAGCGGGAAACCCCTGAAACAGGTGTTGCTGTAGAACTGCAGCTCTCTCCCACTGCACTGCAGATAAGCTAAGGGGGAAAACCCTGGAAGCCAGGGTAAGGCCTGCCTGCCCTCTGCAGAACAACAGCACACAGCTCAGACTGTGGTGACAACCCACACGGAACTCCCCTCCTGCACACTGTGGCAAGTATGGGGTTTGCTTTCTTCTATTTTGTCTGTTCTACTTGGTAGCTCAGCCTCAGCCTGTGAGAAAGGTATGCTGGGATCAGATTGGGAACCCAAAGTGAGCCTGATGTGCAGGTGATGAGGTCTGCAAAGACCTTCAGAGCACAAACAGCCACTCCTCAGTCATCCTCTTTTGCACAGACCCAACTCAGTGACAAACTCCGGAGCTCGCTTGTGCTCCTGGTTCATACAGCCATAGAGGCAGGAGGAAGTCCAAACTTCTGCTCACCAAAGCCCAGAGTGCTCTGCTGCAAATATGGCCTCATCTGTCACCTACCAGGCAGCCGAATGTCTTCGTGGAGTGATCTGCTTCTGTGAAGAAATGCAGGTGTCACATTTATCAGCAGTGTTTTGATTGAGGGCCACAAATATGCTGAAATAACAGCATTTGGGCATCTAAATAACAGGAAGTTTCAAGAAAAAAATCCAACGTGACCTTCTGCCACAGATTACAGGACCATGCGTCAAAGCAGAGAATTTTCACACTCATCTATTAAACTTTTTTTGGTAAAGTACGTGAATTATTTGTTACAAGAGGTGATAAATCCATCCCACGTGTGGCAGCTTTGGAGTGAACACAGGCCTTAACACACAGCCATATATTCTATTAATCAGCACATCTCCCTGTTCGGTAAAGAAATGTCATCGCATTTGTTACAAAGGCAAACAGCAACATAGCAAAACAGGATCCAATTTTTCTAAATAAATAAATCA